TGCACACTGAGATGGTGTGGGGCTCTCAGCACCTTTTGCCTCAGACTTGGGAGAGGCTTTGTATGTAGACTAATTATCCTTGTGGTGACATGACCATTAAAAGTCAGTGATATTAGTGGTCTGTTCCTTAGCCAGCTGTAAGCTGATGTGGTAACCTTGAACCCAGCTGTCCAGTATGTGCTGTGTGTCATAGGTGCTCACATAGAAGTGTCTTGGGTGCAGTGCATAGCTTTGTAGTGCCTGTAAGTCATGTGTCTCACATGACTGTGCTCCACACCAGCAGTGGCAAGTGACAATTGTTTTCTGCTTCAACACATCCCAGCCTTGTCATAAAAAGAGAGTAGGTACGTAGAACATAATTTATCTTCCTTCAAAATACATAATGACACTTTAAACACACAGCTACTCAAGCTAGGGCAATGCTATCAGAAATACCAGAAGTTATAAGAGGTTATACAGTGATACCCTTTGCACAGAAGTCATTTGTACGGCACCTCAAAGTGTGAAGATCGTCCTTGCTGTTGTCACGAGTCAACGTAACATTCTGAACCACAATCTATCATCAATGATAGTGCGTGCCACCAGGTGCCTTGCACTAGGATGTCTCGTAGAACACAAGCACAAGCACAAGCAAGACATGCAACTTGAACTAGGCACACATTGCATCCAGACAGACTATGAGCAGCGTCTCGAGTAAATACTTGCCATTTCTACCAACTACCTTATAGCAGACTCACTATTGCAACTCTGTCATGCGAATCCAACTTACATCTAGCTGTGGAATAATTGGCGCAACTCTCTGTCATTCACTGTTTCCTTACTTCTCGATCAGATGGAAGGAGGATATGAAACAGGAGAGTCTAACAGGTGAGCATCAGCACATCATCAGACATGTGCTTATGGTTTGATCACTAAGGCACAAGAAACTTTGGGATTGTGTTACCATTCCCAACCTAAGAAGACTGCACCTTTTTGCAGACATTCCACACCACAAGACATGTGCAAATCTCTCGCATTGGGTTCTGCACAGTTCCATCATGTTCCAACCCATCTCCAGAGCCATGTTCCTGCAGCAATGCAATCCAGGATCTTGTAAAACGTGCTTTATTTCACAGTCTAAAGCTTCTGGCAACCTTATGCCTATCAAAATGGAAAATTAAAACAATTCATATTAGGAGCACTTTTCTTGCCATGACCACCCAATCCAGCAGTTCGCACATTGAAACGCTGTGAAAATAGCCAGTATCCTTTTAATCTTGGGACGATCAGTCTTAATCTTGAGTGATTACCAGATTATTTGAGCAAATAGACCTTCGATTATTCGATTAAAACCAGCACAATATCACCACACCACGATTTTCACACAGAAAATTGTTTGCGCCAATTGGTCTGCCATGCGTCATAAAGCCAATCAATTGATTCTTATTTTTGATCTTTGATTTCTCAGTTTTTTAGGCTTGCCGCGCTTAGATTTTATCACCATCGTGATCAGGAGATTTTAATCTATCGCTGGGATAAATTTCAATAGATTCCTAGGGGTCCGCACATAAATTTTATTTTGTAAAAGGCAACCACGCATAATTTGGTAATGTCATATCTCAGCTCGTAGGGCGTGCCGCGCCTAGATATTAACACCATTGTGATCAGAAGATGAAAATATATAGTAGAAATGAGTTTCAAAAAATTCCTAGGGGTCCGCATACAATGTATTTTTGATAATGGGCAACGGTGCGTGACCTTTGACCTCTTATGACTCCGTTCGTAGGTCGTGCCGCGCTTATTTATAATCAACATCGTAATCAGAAGATTTTATTGTATCAGTGGACCAATTTGCAAGAGATTCCTAGTGGTCCGCTGATAGTTTTTATCATTTTTTTCCACGCGAATACGAATTTGACGCCAAATATACGCACATACAGACCACAGCCTGTCTTGTGCGTCAGAGCAACTAAAACTAAAAAGGGAAGTGAAGGATATATGATGCCATATAAATATGGTAGCATTTCATTTCTCACGCAAGCGATTCAGTTCCGCCGCAAACGTTCTTTTGCGTGGGATATTGATATTGGGGATGCTGGGGATATTGCAGGCATCGGTAGGATTGTGATTGCAGGATTGCAAAATCCTGATTGCATTCCTTTTTGGTGGATTGCACCTGGGTTTGAAATCCATTCCAAAAACAGGATTTGATTGCGGATTGGATTGCATCATACTTCCAATTTTTGCAATCCAATCCGGATTGTGTTTGATTAGTGCTTTGAAATGGTTTGTTGTGTTTGAAAATTATGCGATCGGCTTCATCGGCTTAATGTACTTTGCTATCAAGGGCTTTACATCGAAACTTGAAATAATTTTAACGCTTTTAATTTAAACGCTCAAAATAATATACGCTGATGAACTACATAGGAAGGGCAAAATTACGTATTTGAGGGAGAGTTTTAAAAATATAAAACACTGGTTGGGTAGAGGTTTAAATGTGGGGGTGTTTGAGGCAAAAATATTTCCCATAAAATACCTGTGCGATGTGCCTTAGATAGGATTTACTCGCAAGACTAGGTACTAGAAATGGGTGATTTGGGGAGGAGGCACGGCCCTATGCCCCCCCTCCCTCCCCCAGATCCACTAGTGCACATAACAATACAACAGGATTGCAAAAAAGGATTGCGGATTTGATCACAATCCAAGTGAAAAAGGGGATTGCGGGTAGGAATGCAATCCACTTCGGCACTAGGAATGTGGATTGGGAATGCAATCCTTTCAAAAAGGATTTTACCGATGCCTGGGATATTGATATTGTATTAGCTGCATAAATAGGTGAATATCGATTCATTTAATGCCCTGATTTTGATAAAACATTCTAGAATTTACCTTTGATAATTGATAACGAAAATGTGCTTATCTGAAACTTTGCGCATTCTTAGATTTTAGAAGTCTACTACACTACTTTCAAGTTTCAGGCGTCAGTCGTTTTATTTGACATTTCAATTTGATTTGGACTTTAAAATCCTGGTCACTTCTCACTGGAAATGGAATATCCTGGGAAAATAGGTATATTGATATGACCTGATATGACTGCCCTTGTTTTTTGACTCATGGGTGGTGTTTCACCGGTGAAAGCAGCATGCTGCTATTACACATGTAAAATTGGGCTTTCCATGGAGAGGTTAACAAGCCTGTTGCTCCCAACACTACCACAAGTGTGACGTTAGCTCGCGAAATGGAATATCAGCATGCTGCTATCACTGGTGAAACACCACCATGGTCTGTGGCTTTAGAGTAAATAATGACATAGGTGGTGCCAAATGCTTGTTGTGCAATGTACAGGTTGGGTCTTCATTTTCCATTCTTATTTCACTATGCTTTAAACATGTGCTTTCACTAAAAGTAAGGACATTTTTTGAAGTTAGGTGTCTGCACATTTTGAACGACCTGAACTTGGATCAATTTTTTTTTTGCAGTCAACACCGAGCTGAGCATCACGTCAAGATACTAGAAGAGTGGACACCATGGAGTCAAAGCCAGTTGCTTTTCAATTCACAAAAGCTGTTAAGAAACCATCTGTGATACAAACTTCTCTTAACTCTACTGAGAAGAGTGAAGAAGTGGACTTTGTTAAATCAGTTGATGACAAAGGCATTGAAAGGTAAGTAAGACTAAGCTGTTAATTAGCAGTTGGCTTTCTGAATATTCTCCTGTGATGAAATTATGGGGTTGTGTTAAACTCCTGGTCATTTTTGATGCATTATTCAATTGTCAAGATTTTCAAAGCAATAGGCTTAACACAATTATTTCTTGATGTTGCAAAATTTTTATTGTATAACATGAATGTAGGATATAGATGAGTGTTTTGACCTTCATTGTTGTCTTATTTTTGCCAGCACAAAGAAAAGGAAGGAATATGTTCCACTGGTTATCCCACTGAAGAAACCAAAGCTGAAAATTCAAAAGGCTGTTGAAAACCAACCATCCACAGTGACTGATACCAAAGAGCATGATTCTGCAGTGGGAGAGGGGAATTTGGATTCTTTGGCTGCTGCAGAAATTCTACAGGGTAAATATCAAGAATTGTGTTTAGTTATCACCAGTAATCATAGTTGGTTCACTTTTGCTTGGAACAATCATATTAGGCTAGTGAATTACCTATTCATGGTGGTTTTAAAATGCTACCCTATATACGTGGTTGAAGAAAATGGTTTGAATGGGAAATTATAAAAACAGTTTAGCTGTGCAGAGTAACAATTCAATTTGTCATGTCAATGATAAGGTATATTATTTTGAATTGGGGTCTGGGGCAATTGTATTTTTTAGTGTGTAATTACGGAGCGAGCGAAGCGAGTAAAGTCTTTCCTTAGATTAACGGAAATTTCTGAGTATGAGCGGCCGGCCGGCCGTGCGGACGCTTTTGCGAGGCTTATATCTCCGCAACCACTTGACCGATTTACATGCGGGAATTTTTTTGTAGGGTAGCTTCATTCCTTCCACCAAGTATTTTGGACTATTTCTGATGATGTGGGTGACCCCTTATGCACGTGCCACGTGCAAAACGAAGACGTGTCAGTTTTGTAATTGTTGCAATATCTCGGTAACTAGGGCCGATTGCGCTGAAAGTTGGCATGTAGGTAGACACCTACTAGGCAATGCATATCCATGTGCCACAGTTGGGGTGCTGCTGCACGTGCGCAGGTGCAGGGGTCGTTTCCATATCTCGAGAACGGCTGGACCGATGGCGCTCAAATTTGGCACACGGTTAGGGACCAGTTAGTAGGGTGCCGTGCACAAGTCAGTTGGGACCCATTTTGCACGTGCGCACGTGCAGGGTGCCGCTTCCAGATCTCGAGAACGGCTGGGGCGATTGTGCTCAAATTTGGCACACCGCTAGAGACCGGTTTGTAGGGTGCCGTGCACAAGCCAGTTGGAGCTATGTACCCCCTCAAAATTTCGCACTTGCAAGGCTCACCCTCTAGCTCGCTCCGTTAGTCGCCCCAAAAGGCGTTTTACTGGTACTGTTAGTGGTGTAATGTATTCTTCATTTCTTATTTCAGAGGCAGCAGAAGGAGCTGATGGGAAGGGAAAAGGAAAGGAAGTGGCTGACATTGAAGTGGCTTCCAGCAGCATTGTACAGGGTGCCACCATTGGAGAAGTGGTAAGAAAATATTTTATTAATTCAGTATTGCAGTTCTTTTCTTTAGTAGTCGTAGCCTTTGTACCAAAGATACCATTTCCCATCGCAACAACTTCTTTTCACTTGACCAGATGATTACATTGATTGTCATATGCATAAAGCACATGTCTGCTCTCTGTCGATGATAACTTAGCATTGAGTTGCAAAGCTAAACTCGAATTTGAAGGTTGCTGGTTTCCATGACTAAATGGAAACCAATGCCTATGTTTTTTAGGAAGAAAAAATTGTTACAAAAAGGCTTTATAATTAATTCTTCACTTGGAAGGTCATAAGTTCAGACTGCTCTGAGGCTCATTGGAGATAAATGCTTGTGTATGGTAATTGGTATCAAGGTAAGCAAATGTTTTCCAACGTTACTTATAGGTCGTCCTTATTTTTACGACGTATTATGCAACTGGCAGTACATTCTTTGTTCGTATTTCAGCCTACACTGGACGACTATGACAGTGTACCGGTGGAGGAGTTCGGAAAGGCGCTGCTGCGCGGAATGGGCTGGAAGGATGGCGACGGAACCGGCAAGAAGGGAGAGTGAGTATACGGCCGCGCTCGTACGCTTGTGCTTAAAATGTGGAACTTTGAAACAATGAAGAACGATTTTCTTCACTTTCCGATATCGCTCCTAATGACGTGGTATGAGTTATCAAAACGGCAGTATTGATTAATTCGTTGATGGTCTTGCCCTACACCTTGTCAGTAAATGAACATTTATGTTGCGTGAAACATGTTTTTCCGCATCGTTTGTTCTCCGCCTAAGCAATGTGCGATGTTTCCCCACCATCTTACCTCCCCTCTCCAGTTGAAGTTCGCTCCACACTCTGCCGTGCCGTCCGCGCCCGGTGTTAAGCTCTCCCTCCCTGTGCCCCCGCAGGAAGGTGGGTCAGTTCGAGGCAGTGGTGCGCCCCAAGGGTCTCGGTCTGGGCGCGTCCGTAGCGACCGCTCAGCAGACCCCGGCGGCGGCCGGTGCCGACGGAGATCAGGAGGAGCTGACCATGGCACCCGGCGCGTTCGTCGTGGTCACCATCGGAAAGGAGAAGGGCAACTATGGTCAGGTAGGTGTCGGAGACCATTGGAACTTATTGGATTTGCTCAGACAATTTGATCCAGCCGTAGATGGGCGAGGCATCGGCGCTCCGAATAGGAATATTCAAGTAGTGTTACTTTGCTGAGTCATCATATCGATGCCCGGTCGATTCGACGCCTGGTGCTAGCGTGCTACTGGCCAGCTCGATGCATCTGTGTGTGGGGACGTGGCTGACCGATGACTCGTTCCGATAGGTCGTCATCGGCCAGGCTCTCTGCCTGTATGACGACGGCCGGGCTCTCTGTGTCACTGAGTCTGGCGCATCTGTGTGCCGGTCACGAGACGTGTCTGACCGTTCGCTGGTCTCAGTAGGTATCTAGCCTGGACGGCGACGGCCGGGCGCTGGTCAAAATGGCCGTCTCTGGCAACACCAGCAGCCTGCCCGAGGGCGCGCTCCGGCTGGTCACCAAGAAGGACTACAAGCGCAACAGCCGCGTCATCAGTGAGTGGGCAGTCGAATATAGACTAAGTTGCCATCCTGCCGTCCATTGCTGCAATTAGTCTAGCATGGTTACGATTGTCACCAGCATTTACAGGCCATTCAGTACTCGTAGAATTCCGTTCACCACCCATTCCTCTGTTTGCTTTAAAGCAAGTGTCTTGTTTCGTCTGATATAGTTTGTGCTTACTTTCTCTGGTCTCAAGAGACGTTTGCTAGGCGATGTGCAGCTTCTGGGTTTTCCGCTTTATTATTCTCCGACCATATCCCGTTTTATTATTCCCCAGTAAGAAGTGGGGGTGCTTTAGTAACTACTCTCTCACCACGCTCATGTATATCCTCGCTCAAGTCGACCTGTCCCCCTACTTTCTTCAGACCAGGAGAAGTACACCGAGTACAAGGAGCGGCAGGAGAAGGAGCACGAGTCGGCGCGTGGTCGGGACCGTTCGGAAAAGTCCTCCTCACGGGCAGACGAAGCCGCCGAGCGGGACTCGGGGCGGTCTAAGAATGGAGAGAAGCACCGTCATCGGGACAAGACGGCCGGTGGTGATAAGAAGGAGAGGTGAGGGGTTGGGTTGACGGGTGGTAGGAGAGGGACGGAACGGGTGTCAGGGAGTCACAGAGGTGACGGGTACGGTGTTGTGAAGGTAGCCGGGAAGCTTGTGAATAGTGTTGATGGTGGCCGCATGAGGTGGACGGGGTAGGCCATACCTACATGTTGGACCTTAGGCTTCTGTGCTTCAGGCGGCTGATAAAGTATATGAGCGACCCTTGTCCGTTCCTGAGTCGGCTGGAGGCGAGAGAGCTTCCTTCTGTACCAATCTTGTGTGACCCATTGCTCATTGTTGACCTACAGGTCATCTGAGAGGGCAGCTGATTCACCTGGAAGCCGGGAGACCCGCCGGCCCTGGGTCAGACCCCAGCTGCGAGTCCGCTGCATCGACCAAAAGTACAAAAAGGGCCGTTACTACAAACAGAAGGTGAGAAACTGGCAATCAGTTGCCGAAGAGGTGCCTGCTTTGGCTGCTGTTTGGCATACAAAATGACGAACGAACGACCCTGCTGTCGTGTTCTTTCTCACACGTCTTTTCCCTGCCATCTTACTGTTTTTTTTTTTGTTTTTTGTTTTTGTGATATTCTAATGCCACTCTTGGCCGACTAATCGGTGATGCTATCATTGTCAATGCCATGCCCCAACAACTCTTTCTCCTCTCTGCTAGCTGACCGGAGAATGGGGATGCTATTACTGCCATGTTCTGACCCATTATCTCTCTTCTCTCCGCCAGCTGACTGTCGTCGATGTCATCACGGGCCGACCTGTGTATCTGTAAGGACGCCGACGGTCGGCTCCTGGAGGACGTGGCTACCGCCCGGCTGGAGACGGTCATACCGCGCCGAGCGCCCGGGGCAGTGATGGTGGTCCGGGGACCCCATACCGGTCAGGTGAGGCACCGCGGACAGACAGAACACTCGAAACGTGCAGGTGTTGTCATCACGGAGCGGGAGGTAACTACGAAGTTAGCTGTGGTTTGCCCCTGATGCGACATTTCAGCAGCCTCGCTCGCTCTCCTCTAACCAGGAGGTTTAATTATGTTCAAAGCAGTTTAAGGTGAACTAACTTGTTTGTTACGAAATATTCATTTAGGAAAATGTTGGTATGAGCGAGAGGCTGAGATAAAATATTGAATTCATGCTATTCAGGAAGCTTTTTTATGGCGAGAAGAGCTTCATCAGCCCATCCGATGTTACATGTGGCTAGTGCCACCATCATTCGCTCAATAAGACATCGATACCGCTGATACTCTGTTGCCTTCCGTGCCCGCTCTGGCGCCCACTGTGCCACCTATCGGATAATAATGGAACCAGCAGTGTAACGGACCGTGTAGAGTGGGTGCTCTCGCTTTACTTCCAGACTCCAGTGGCAGTGCCACGGGCTGAATGAACACTGAACACCATCGATCGATCGATCACTTACGCCGTAGTAAAGCTGGGTTAAACCTTTCTGTGCGTAATAATCCCTTTCCTCGTCATTTCTCGTTATTTAGGCTGCGTTAAGTCTGGTCCTTTGCCCCTCATGCATAACATCCTCGCATATTTTTGTCACTGAGTGTGTGCGGTAAATTATTCATTCAGTCTTTGTATTTTCCTTTTGCGTATGATTGTGAATAAAATGATTGTTTATTTTCTTTATTTATCGTCTTCTGGTCCTACAGTCTGTACGCACACGCGCTGTCATCCCTCTCCTCTCTGCGGCTATATGTGTGTGCCTGGCAGGGAGAGAGGCTGACCCTACACATTGAAGTCACGTTGACGCCTCCATGTTTCTCCCAGGTAGGAGAGCTGGTGGACCGAGACTCGAAGCGGTGTCGCGCCACCCTGCAGCTGTTGCCCGACCAGCAGCTGGCGACGCTAGACTATGACGACATCTGTGAGTACACCGGCAGCTTGGAGGCCTACAGCTGAGACAGAATCGTACGCTAATAGTATAGGAGCTGTGTGGGGTCTTCAGTTGAGAATGGCAAACCAGAGTACTCGGGTATACCAGAGGCTATACCAGAGGCATCGCTGGTATACCAGCGATATGGAGGTTTTTAGTTCAGAACGGTAGATCTCAGCACACCAGGCCCTCGGCTGAGGTCGGCCGGCCTCGCTGCAAGTAACCAGGCCCTCACGCGGCGTGAGTCCTGCCATCCGACCTACCAAGGCGCCAAGGCGTGGAATCGAGGACATGTACTGTCACAAGATGGCACGTGTTACCATCGTGGCTACCGTCGACGGATTCGGTGCTGAAGATGGTACGATGTGGTGCTAGATGGCTGAAGGGAGCCGTTTTGTAATGTTTACTTAGTGCTGATTTTTTTATACCGTGGCATGTCAAATATGGAGGTTGTGCACACATCATATGAGCTCATTGTTATCATCTCATCTGTGGTTTTGTGTCGATTCCTTACAAACATACATAAGATAACGCGCTGTTGATACCTATGATCATCCAATGTTCATGTACTCATCATGTGACATAAATGTTCATTTTTCCACGGTTATATCGCCTCCTCAGCCGGTGGATGCGTGGGGTCAGGCGCGGACACAATGCGTCCTTCGATGAAGTTTATTGGGTCGGGTGATGGCGGGCGGCGGTGCCTGTTTCGTGGGCGCTGTGACGGCGGAGATATACACAGATCAGCCGCGATCCCGGGTGGCAGCCGGGCTGTGCGCCAGCCGGCAGATGTTAGACACGTGCTGGCCAGAGCCGCGGGCGTCTGTGCCGGCCAGTCATCCTCCAGGGACGGGGAGAGGGGAGGGGGACACCGGTCAGCCCCGGTTCTGGGTGGCGAACTGGCCGAGGAACTTGACCAGCTTCTCGATCTGCGGTACGGTGAGCGCGTTAAAGAGCGCTACTCGCAGTCCTCCTACCGATCTGCCGGAGAAACGGGCACAGACTGTCAAATATCGACGCACACCGCACAATCTCTGGGGAATAACGACCGGGCTGGAATGATCACGCTTATACACAGAGGGGTGGCTGGAAATCTGCTACTCGTCAAACGCATAAACACACTCACATTTTGTCAGTGCCGTTATAATGAGCACTCAGTCTTAGCACATTATTCATATCTGTGTTCCGTTCGATGCCACGTTCAGGGTCCAAATAAACGCGATATCGGTAGTGTGGAACAAAAACTGACCGGCGGCCAGTAGTCCCGTTCTTGGAAGCACTGCGAACACGGGTAATGGGTTCGAGGAATCGTGTTTGAAGGGAATGCGGGACAAGGGTGTTACTTTGTTCCCTACGTGCGAAGGGCCGTCGCATGAAGATCAGAGGAAGTGTCGGCTCCATTTGGACTGCGGTTTCGTCAGCGTGCATGACGGAAGCCCCGGATGAGTCTATATGCCACTAATGGCTCTCACATTTAAAATATGCAGTATGCACGGCTACTGAGGTCGTTGGCACGCGTAGTGTAGTCTAGTGCGTGATCGGGTTCGCGAAGGTATTCAATTACTCGCACTCTACCTTAATATACTCGTAGAATGGGGGCCGGGGGGGGGGGGGATACATGTGGACTGCGGTCTGCGGTGCATCTGCCTTTCTTTCACTTGCGCCGGTTGTAATCGCGGAAATCTCTTTGACTGCATAGAGCGGGAATGAGAATGTCTGGGTGCATTTAATTCAATTAGTATGTAGCCTGAAAAAGTAAACCGCAAATCTGCGGGGGTTGAGGAACCCTTAAATGAAAGGAGGCTCCGGTTTAGCCCGCCATTCTCTCGGAACTGCTTCGCAGTAACCAGATCAAGTAAGCCAATGACCGGGACGAAAACATGCCACAATTCTGGGTAGCCATTGTACGAGGAAATGTGACGATGACGATATCGGCTCTGTTAGATGGCGCTGCTACTTGGAAGCGTTTCAGTTTTGGCTTCTCCGAACGCTGGCGGTCTCAGCTCGCTCAGTCTACCCTCCAGCGCCGTGGCACTATCGCTCACCGGTGGCCTTTGAGGCTTTTGAAGCCGACCTCCTCGGCCTCTTTGAGGAACTTTTTCTCCAGCTCTGCTCCCGCTGAGATTCGCAGTTGAACCGTCGTTCGGGACCGGGCAGCCCCGTCCACGGGCGCCACGTAGAAACCCTGCGGGCGACAAGGGCCGGTCAGGTGTCGCCATACAGAGAGTTGGGACAGACACTTTTAGGTTACCTTTATGTGTGTATGTCTCATCTCATTTATTGTCAACAGAAAAAGACAAAATAAGTACAAAAGTGAAACAAATAGGATTGGTGCAAAAGCGCAACGCTTAAATCAAGGCACCTCTCCTTAAAATAAACGAGGTTACAAAACATGACACCGCCGGGATCAACAAAGTGGGCCAACAAAGTGTGAACTAACTAAAAGTACAATAAAGGTGAGCGATCACTCCTCCGCTGAGTCAGCCCCCGTCCCCGCCGCCCGCCGCAATGCCATCGCCCTGACCACGAAGTCCTGGAAGAGCGCCGCGGCCTCCCGGCCGCCGTCAGTGATTGTGGTCATGTTGTGTCCGTGTATGAGTTTTTGGAAGAGGTCTTGAGGTGACAAATTTTGATAATTATTACCTAAGACCAATGAAAGTCGAGTGAAAAAATGGGTTCTGATTCGTTGGTAGAGAGGGCAAGTTAAAAGGAAATGATGTATTGTTTCTGATCTGTCGAGGCAAACGCATTGAGGAGTGGGAAGTTTCTGGAGTTGGTACAGGTTGGCATTTAGTGGGAGGCTTCCAGTTCTTATTTGTGTATGATATGTGTTGCCTAATTTGGAGCCGAATGAGAAATAAGGATTGGGTTTGGGCGTGCCGAAGATGTGCGGGAGAGGGGGCGTTATAGGCTGGTCAAAGTGGTCATTGGTCAATTCTCCGCGGAAGGGGAGCAAGAAATGGATGGTGTACATATTTAGGGGCTTGGGTGTATGCTGGTTTGGACCGCTATCCTGGCAAACACGGGCATGAAGTTACACTGTAATCCGACTGATACTGAAACAGCGGGTGGGTGGCCTGGTGAAAGCAACAAACACTACTTGATGCAACAGGACTAATGAAAACACGTTCGTAGTACAATCTGGTGCGCCATAGGCGGTTTGTGTCAACACATAACGATGTGTTAACACAAGCAGTCTGTAACGATGTCATAATTCATTATTAGTAAGCCGAATTCCAAAAGAATTGCGACACACCCTATTCCGCACCATCGCTCTGCAATCAGCCGTTGCTTGCAGTTTTGACTCAGTTTACGAAACAGCCGAAAGGAGCTATGCTCAGAACCTGTGTACAGTATGACTGAGAGTGTTGTGTAGGTGAGGGGAGACTCACGTCTGACTGGTCAGCGGCGGTGTAGATGAGCTTGGCCTTGGTGTCGCTTCTCTTTGACATCTCCTCGACTCCACCCTGCTCCTCGACCCAGTCAAGCACCTTGCCCGTCACGTATACGCTGAAAGAGGAAATTGAATGGATGGTCAGCCCTCTGATCGGCCCTCTGACTCAGAGGGACCGTCTCACTCAGATAAAACAAGGTCGCATCAGTATCTCAGAGTCGCTGGCCATCATTGGTCGGTCCTATCCGCTTCATTATATGCTCTTACATCCAGTGGTGTTCAAATGGACCCACATCTATCCGGCGTATGTAGAACTAACCGCTCTATCTATCCGGCGTTCTTACTACTCACTTGAAGCAAGGAGGTGTGTTATACAAAGATCCAGCCTTGGCCATTGTGCTGTAGCTGAGAACTGACGGACAGACGGGCAGACCGCGGCCCAGCAGGTCCTCACGCACGATGACTATTGTCAGTCCGGCCGGACCCATGTTCTTCTGAGCGCCGGCGAATATCACGCCAAACTGCCGTGGAGAATGAGATGTCAGTGTCGGCATGGTGTCAGTCACAAAACTGTTTCAGTAACAGCGTGCGGTGTCAGTGACATGTCAATTGTCAGTGCGGTGCCAGTTGAACATTTGGTAAACCCCGGTAACTATGACAAAGGTAGTTTCCGTGTGATGCCACCCACGGCTAGAGCGAGCGGCTGACTCTCGTGTGTCTGCGGTTTTATGGAACTCAGCCGAGCTGTGGTAGGGCTGTGTCCTTCCGTCGGGACGGCATTCTCACCTTGCTGACGTCTATGGGCCGTGTGAGGATGTTGGACGACATGTCGGCCACCAGAGGCACGTCCCCGGTGTCGGGCACCTCCTGGAACTCGACGCCTGCCGAAGGAGGCCCAGCTCCATCAAATCCGACAGCGTATGGACAGAGAACAAATAATGTAGCAAACATGGGTACACGACCCATGCAACAGTGGTACAGTTCCTGATGTCCTTTTGTATGACATCGCACGACCTGTAGTCCGTGAAACGGCGCTGCAACACATTGCAGCACCCATCATCAACGTTTAAGGGTTCGTGCAGTGGTGCTACCGCCCCCGTGTAGTTTGACTCCATACATATTTGATAACACCGCCAATACATCATAACTACCCTCGCCGTCCTGGTACTTGCTAACCGCTTGCATCACTCCATCGCCGTGTTCGCAAGGTTGATAGAAAGTAAGGCTCTACCATGAATCGAGGCTGCAGGGACATGGATCATTAAAAGTTAATCTTTTCTGTGTTAACCCCGGCGTAAGTTCGCTGCCATATTTGAGGACTTGGGCGTGAGGCCGCTATGTGTGGTAGATGTTCGTGGCGGCGGGTGTCGGCCGGCAGCTCGATGTGTCAGCGGGTTCGGCGGGGCGGCGGACCTACCCTCGACGGTCTCGTTGTCACAGTAGTAGACGTAGTCGGCGTCCGGCCTCAGCCGCCACTGGTCTCGGCCGGCGATGCCGAGGAATTTCTCTGTGGCCGGCAGCACGGGCTGCATGTCCAGGTATCGGGCCGCCTCGGCCGCCGCCTTCTTCGACCATGTGCCTGAAGGTGGTTGGGGAAGGTTGGGTCATCCGCCGGGGTCGTTGTGTGCAGGTCGGAGGCCACCGGTTACCGGTCCACTACGCTACGTTCAGGTCATCGGCCGAATCTCGCGACATGACTTTGGTCTAAACAGGTCACTGGTCATACGTCAAAGGTCTGAAGTCATGGGTCAGTGGTCAAAAGTCGCTGACTAAAAGTTGCCGGCCAAAGACCACTCGGTATACTTTTGAAGATTGATCTTTACTAATGCCTCTGACAAGATGAAAACGGGCAAAAGTAATGCACTTAGTGTCTGGATGCTGTGAAGCGTATTACTCTGTGAAGCTACAAAGGTCATCGCTCTACCTGCCACCGCCTGTCCGCGCCTCATTAGACTAATTCGAGCCTTTGAGCGATTATTGCGCAGCTGAGCTGAACTCTGACAGTGCTCGGTGCCCCTCCCCGGGGCCTGGGACGCACCTGTGATGAAATAGTCGGCCTTTCCGTTGACACAGAGGTTGAGCGGCACGGCGGCGAACTGGCCGGTGGCACCGCCCTGCACAAACAGCACCCGGTAGTTGTCCGGGATGTGGCTGCAACACGCGGAGGGACAGATCGCACTATTTGAGGACTACTTGTACCGCGGCGACGATGAAGCTCGG